TCAAAGCTGTTGTCTTCCATTTTAATGATAACCTCTTTTTGTAGTGGTTTGGAGATATCCAAATTTACACATATTCTGGCATATTTCAGCATTGTAACAATTTCTGTTCTTGGTCAGCATAGAGACGTTCTCCCACATAGCTTACAATGTGGCTAAGGCCATTAGCAGTCCAGAAAATGATGGGAATATTATGGAATTTGACCCAAATGGGGATGCATCGAGCTTGGTTAGAGTGAGGTTAATTGTGTTGGTTCCATTTTATGAGGGAAAAGAGGTGACATGTAATTGACCAAGGGCTCTTTGAAAGAACATCTTCAGCTTCTGTACTTGAGTTGAATCTGAAGTAATAAGTGTTATTGTCCCCCAATATGGTAGCTGTAAGACCGAGGTTCCTCAAAAGCATTGCTGCTGTTGTTTGAATAACCTTAAATGGGATTCTCTTATGAGTGGAAATCCCAACAAGGTGAGTGAAAGACCAGAAATGGACACCTTCTTCAATTACTTCCTTTGGGGGGTCAATGAGGTTCGAAGACCCTGGAGGTGGGGGGAAAAAGTTAAAAATTATCTTGGTTTTGCTATTTTTGTTGACTACCTCAGACCATTTTATTGTTTGATGTGTACTTGTTTGTGGTGCAGGATTTGGCAGTGTGTTTGTGATGTGTTGTACCAAGTTTGATAGGGGCATTGGATTAGCTATGGTTGGGGAATTAGGCTGAAACTGGTGGATAATAAAGGGGTTGTGTCATAAGTGGTGGTTTGGTTTGTGTCATAGGTGGTTGAGGACTTTTCGTTTTTGTATGTGTCTGATGTGTCAATGAGAACCTGCAAAGTAGGGTTGACCATCGAAACATTATTTAAATTCAAATTTAAACTTGAACTTGATACCGCCTGATCTGTGTGAGCAGCTGGACTGATGGTGGTAGTAGCAGTGGTTGTGGTGGCCAACAGTGTCTGTTGGCCTCGACTGCAGTTGAATGGGAGACTTGTCTGTTGGCCTTGAATGTTGTTGGATGGGAGAAGTAACTTAAGCTGAGCGAGCTCTTTCCTTAGCTCTGAGATGATCATATTCTTTTCTTTGAACATGTCCAGAGCTTTTCATAGATTCTTATCTTTCCATTGAAGTTGTTCTATGAGACATTCAATTTGATGGCCGGGAGAATCATACAAGAGGGGATTGAAATTCTTTGGGTATTGTGGTGCAGGTGCTGATGGAGTGGAGGATGGTTTCTTGGCTGGTGAGGATTGTAACTACCTCTTGACTGGTGAGCTGTGGACTGGTCTCTTGCTTGGTGGCTGCTTCATTTGTTGTAGTGTTGTTTGCTTCTTCTTTGTGATGTTTGTACTGTTTGTACTATTGTCAGTGATATTTTAGAGTCTTACTGGCTTGATAGAGGGTGAGGGAAATGATTGTCCATTAAAGAATGGTGGGAGTGGAAGGGGGTAAACAAGTGTAAGCAGGGTTGAGGTTGATGGTTTAGAGGAGGGAGAGGTATGTAGGATGTGTTTATATAGTGAAGGTTGTTTTGTCATTCACTTTTGTGGCTTCTCTAAGGTGGCTTTGGATTTGAGTAGGGGTGAAAGGTGGTTGGGTATGGGATTTATAATGGATGGTGGTCTGTGTTGATGCTGAACCTAGTTACATATCCTAATTGTTGAGTCTAATGGGTGGTATAGAGCTCTCACTTCCATAACAATAAAAATTGGTGCGCAGTGGACACCTAATTAATCTCCACTGAGAGAGGAGGACTCAAACCCGACATAGGCAACCACCAGGTCAAAGAGGGACTCAATCCATCATAATTTGACAAGTAAATTATAAATTATCGTCGATCTTGAGGTTAATAGTTCGAGTCATTTAATAATTTCTCTCACAATTAAGGAGAATAGCTAGTACTCCCTGTGATTATAAGAGATGTGCATCTTACCTAAGGGAATATATGACATCTTATTCCACGCACAACCAATTCTATCGGCCATGATTATTTGAAATGGTTTATGTTTTCTCTTACAAAAAAAATAAAAACATTAAAATCTTATAATTTAGGATATGTGGAATTCTCCTATGACTAAATTGTTGTTTAATAATATACTTAACTACTTAAGCACTTAATTTAAAACAAACTAAAGTACTAGATATATAAAACTATTACACATATATTGTGAGCTTTAGGAGAATTGGACTTCTGTCTTCTTCTTCTTCTTCTTTTTTTTATGGGGAAAATAGTTAATTTGTCCAAATTAATGTATATACATTCACAATATTGTTCCTAAATTTCTAATAAATTCAAAAACTCAATCTCCCATTTAAAAAAGAAAGATCATACCATTTGGATTAAATGGCCATTGGTATGACATGTACATAATATTTTTAAATTTTTTATTTATTTTATATACATGGCCTGTGTTGACATTTTTGTAAGTTCTCCTTCTATTATTTTATTATTATTATTATTATTATTATTATTTTTTGTGTTCACGCAATAATGCTAGAATTCGATCATTGGAGATATTAAGAGTTCCAATCTTACAAGGAACGCGTTATGAGTGTGTGCATTTCTTTTAACTTGAATAATAATAATAAATAAATATTAGAACCCTACCTGAATTGAAACTAGTAGTAGAATCTAAAATTAAACCTACTACTAATATTTTAAGAACTTCATGCTGAAGCCACTGGTATCCTAGCTAGGATTCCTAATTGACCACGCAGTTTGAATTAATTTCAATTTGAATCTAGAAATTAATTAATATTTGTACAGTAGTGTCATAATATATATATATATATATATATATATATTTAGATATAATGCCTTGGTATTTTTTTTCCTTGTTATAATACCTATGTATTTTTTTATTTATGTTTGTATATATATATATATATTGCGCGCACAGATGTTATTGGAGAAAGACAAGTAAATTTGACAACATTTCCATCAAAATAACTATTATATTCATGAATGGACTAGCATACATGCAAATAATTAGTTCATAACAGTGACATTCAAACTAATTGAATGTCTTGAGAAGTGGAGAGATCGAAGTCATTGTAATGCTACCAAAACAAGCATGATGACCCAATTTTTTGAATAGTGTGGAAACAATGAAGTCACTTTGTTTTCACTAGACATCCAAAATTAAGCTCCTCCTTTTTAAGTGTTAGATTACAAAAAATATATATATAATAAAACTTGGTCATGCATGCATGAATGTGTAGCCACATGTCCGAGGCCAACAATCCTAACTGAGAAACTTGGACATTTCAGAATGCATGTTAGCTTTATCTGGTTTTTGAGAGCTGAACTTTGCAACACATGCATCAGTACCTATCTCTCTCTCTCTCGTTCTCTCTCACACACACAACACACAGACACAATTTCTCTATTTAGTTTTTGAGAGCTGAGCTTGGCAACACATGCATCACCTATCTCTCTCTCGTTCTCTCTCACACACAACACACACTTAATTTCTCTATCTAGGGGTCCTCCAATGTCTCAGTCTAGTTCCGCAAAATGACATAAACCTTAATGAGGGTACAGATTAATCCCACACAAAGAAACAAAAATGGAAGATGGGAATCATCGCAAATGGAAAATGCATCGATTCCACAAAACCCTTAGCAGCTTTTCTCTAAATACTACCAAAATTCCATGTTGTCTTCCCTTAAATCCACGGCACTCCTCTGTCGGCGAATTTCATGTATATCACAACCTTACCCTCCTCCATTTTATACTATATCTTTTAACAAAAATATGTATATATGCACCTACATATATATATATGTATATAGAGAGAGAGAGATGGTTACCTAAATTTTGTTTGTTGCTTTAGTAACAAAAGGCTACAATTCTTTAAGGTACATGTATCTAATCGGTAACCATTTAACAAGGGAAATGTATTATTTTGAGTAAAGCCATAATCGTAATTGTTATCATTAGATCTACTTTAAATCAACACATTTTAACCACCAAAAATAATACATAAATTATAAAATTTTGTATTTACAGTGAATTTTTATATGAAATTTTGAATGGATATTCTTTTAAACAGTTAGATGTCGTTGTCGAAAGGGTATTTGTGCATGATCAAGGTAAAATAGAGCTCATAGTAGTAACAATAAACTGCACCTCATTGTAGCTTATTTAAAATTGGTAACAATTTTGTTGCCTTCACATTTTCTAGATGTGAAAAGGGGTCAGTTGGGTTTTGTCATCTGACTCATGCCTGTCCTTTCACCTGATTTTTAGGCCATGTTTGGTTTCATCACATGTTAATGAAGCCCACAAAACAGTAGTTAATGAATGTTTTCTAGTACTGCTCTTTGGTTTGCTGACTATTCCTTTGTTTGGTAGGAATCATTACACATCTAAACAGAAGGAATGAAATTCTTGAACATATCATTATAACCACAGTTGCCATTGCCGCCTTTCATCACCACGGTGGTCGTTGATGCCTCCACCACCACAGCCACCGCCTTCCGGCCATCAACGCCACCACTGCTTTTCACCTCCTTCTCTCATTGCCTTCCACCATTAATTTCTATCGTCGCCTTTCACCACTGCGACTTAGAATAGTGATTGTCATTTCATTCATACTCCATTTTATATTTATAACTCAGTCCATTGCCTTTATTATATTCTTATTCCATTTCATTTCTAGGCACCAAATTAGGTCTTAGTGTTAGGAACCTAATAACATAGCAATCGCCTCTCCAATGATCATAATACAAATAACCTCTTAATGCATCAAAAATTATAACATGTTTTGACCAATCATAACTCGATACACATTTGCTTGCGTACCAAATTGTGATTGGTCATGTAATCGCATACCATGTAGTGCATCTATATATTCTAGTTTGCAGACTACAATATTTAGTGAAAAGTTTTATTCTTAAATTGGATATATATACTAGCATCGGATGAGCAAGCTTTGAAGCTTTGAAATGTTACATCCTTGGTGCACGTATCTTTGTAATGATTCATTGGTACGTACGTTGCAGATTTATTAAACAATTTATAACATAACTGCCACAATTATTCACACAAGTTCTCTACCAAACAGCCCCCAAAGGCTCGATCATGTACTACATTACATGCATATGGAATCCTACTAGTTCACTAGCTGAAAACCCTACTTGATTGTTGAAAAAAAAAAAAAAAAAAGGAGGAGAGAAGGGTGATTTTTGGTGATTCGATCTAGCTAGGGCATGCAGCTACATATAGGTAGCTAGAAATGATCAACATAATGTAGCTGCTTCCTCCTCAATTATTCTAAGCATTTGGTGAACTGCACCTGCAATGTCATCTGCACAAGTGAGTTGGCATCCTTCTTCCACCTAAAACAAAAACCTTCAAATATTAGCCCAAAATTCGGAATATCTCCAAAAATTACTAGTGAGGACACATTTTTAACTGAACTTAGAAACAACACAAATATTGGAAACAAACACCCCCTTTCTTATCTATCATCATTCCCTAGTAGTACTGATAATAATAATTGAAGAGACTATCTAATACAATGTCCAAAATACCCCCACTACGAACCTCATTCATTCATGATAGTTAATATTTTTTTTTGTTGACTATGTAGGTTTTCTCGCCCTTTAGGTGAGATTAATTCTCTCCGGACATATGCCAGCGCATTGGCATGCGCCAATTATATTTTAATTCGAGAAAAATCTCATGAGGTTGGTCCCTGACCGACGATTCTGTCCCCTTGGGGATGAGCATGAATTTAATTTATTTGGTTGTTGCAGCATGAAATCATATACCAATATAAATGAAGCAAATAAATAAGTGCATAAGTTAATTACATACCTTGGCACTGATTGAGTAGAGGACAAATGGGTCCAAAGTGGTGACATTGAGGTGGAGGATGGTGAGGTGAAATGTCTGAAAACCGGCAACCATCTTTGAGAGCTGCCTAGGGCTTCTTCTAGAGAGAATTCGAAGATTTGCATGGGTTTCAATCAGAGTGACCTCAATATCTGCCACTGCAGCCTTAGATTTTGATGTGTACTTATTAGGGTTTTGAGACCAGGTATACTGAGGGTGTGCAAAAAATTGAGCAAAAGAGTGTGGCACAACTTCGGTGGCGGTGGTGGTAGCAGCGGCAGTGTCGGTGGTGGTGGAGGTGGTGTCAATGGAGGTCTTTCCTCCTTGTAGTAGTACAAGTTTTTGAGCTTCAAGTGTCTGCAGGAGGTGCTCAAGCTCCTTCACGTATTCTATAGCAGCACCAACTATTGAGGCTTGGTCACCCTATACACAACAAATTTTCGTATTAATTACTTAACTATGGGTCAAAAGTTTATTCATTTTTAATTTAAGTAATTTGATTTAGCATGAGGAAAGTGAAAGTCTTCAAAAATTATGAATAAGCTAATAATTATAAGAATTCGTATATATAATGATGGAAAATGATAAACTAAAGAAGCTAGCCAAGGATGATTGGGCCTGTTTTGCAGCCTTAGGCTTGCTTTTATTTTGGGCTAAGCCCCCATTTTGTTCAATAATGAAAATTGCTTAAATTTTCGAGAAAAAATTATTAAAAAGGTAGGTAGCACTATTTCATACAATATTCTCAAAATTTATCTTTTATAATTAAAGATAGGTGAGCATAATAACATCTACTCATTTCGTTTTTTTATAAATTAAATAACTTCCAAAAAATAGACAAATATAAATAGCCTAAAAGGAACATATTAATAACAAAGGTTTTACAATTAGAACCATAACTTTAGATAAATTTTGGGGATTAAAAACTCTTATAAATTTCACCGAAATTCACTAAATCTCTCTCATACCAAACCAATTTTTGGAAGCAAAAATTAAAATAAATAAATTTTATATATATATATATATATATATATATATATATATTCAAAACCAAAACCAATGATTAATGCTAGTATACATATGATTGTAATCGGATCTACTGTGGGTTCAGTGGGGGCATCCGCCCCCACTATAATTTTTTGTTATTGCATTTTATATTTTTAAACTTATATTTTTTTTTGCATATATACCTATATAATTTTGAAATTGTCCTTAAAAAAAAAAAAAAAAAAACCTCTCTATATAAATTTATTCCCATATGAATTTCTAAATCCATTTCTGATTGTAATACACAACTAATAAAACTAATTTTTCAAAAAAAAAAAAAAAGTGATTGTCTTGATCTTTGATTAATTAAACACCCTTTTACATAAAGACAATTTTATAACCTAAATTGCCCTTCAATGCAATGAACACTCTTCACAGTTTTCTTCAGAAAAGGGCAAAATGAGGGACACCCAAATAACCCAATTCCACAAAAAAGTAAGGTGCCATATCATAGAACTACATAAAGGCTATATGCATAAAAATATATGCATGTTCTTATATATAAATATATATACACATATATGTATATAGCCCACTCTATTCACATGGGATAAAAGTAATTAAGAAGATGATGATATATAATGGTATATTTAAATATATACATGAATGTATGCATATAAGTTGTAGAATTAAAAACAAACCCTTTTGACGTAAGATTCCGGCATGAGGGAGCGTAAGACGGCGAGATGCTCATTCATCTGTTTCCGGCGATTTCGCTCCACCGTAATGTGTGTCATTCTCTGTGTCTCAGTTTCCTCCTTGTTCTTGCAAGTTCTCGTTCTTCTCCTGCTCTTCTTCCGGCCTTGAACACTCAAATTATGTGGCCTCTTGCCGGCTTCCGGTGGTGGCACCGCTGAGCGGCTCCGCCGCGTTATGGAGGAGCAGCCATCCTCCAAAGCAGCACCGCTGAGTTCTTGAGGTTTCTGCTGGCCACTTTCAAATAAGAAATTAGAGTCATTGCAGGTATATGGGGTTGCAAAGATTGTGTCATAGATGATGAAATTGAGGAATTCATTTGAAGAAAGTGCTTCTAAAGTCATCTCTAGCTTTTGTGTACTATGTTATCTAATGAATCTAACTTTGCTACTAGTGTATGGGCTTGTGTGACTTGCTTTAATATGCAGAGTACAATCATTATACAGCAAACCCTCTTATTAAAGTTAGATATATGTATATCTGTGTGTGTGTGTGTGTGTGTGGAGAGAGGTTAAAATGAAGAGAAGTTAAGGGGTAAGAATGAATTAGGATATATATGGCGCACGTGAGAGGACAGCAAAGGTTTGCTTTCTGCTTCAAAAAGTGAGATAAGAAAGAAAGAGGCTCCTCTCTCTCTCACACACACACACACACATTGTTTTCCTTCCCAATTTTTATAGATGCAGTCAAAAACACTGGCAGACCTCTGAAATGGAGAAGGGTGAGGGACCCAAAGCTATGTTAGATATATGCATAAAAACAACTGAACAAGCTGTGCAAAAAAGCTACTCTTCACGTTCAAATTTTGAGTTGGGATTTGCAATGAAATGACTACTGGCTTACCTCTCTCTTCATGTAACCTTAGAGATTCTCATCTCTATATGTGTTTCAAAACTGTAGCCTATAATGTGTGCTATACAACACATTTTTATGGATTGTAATTCTGATAGGGATCTAATTTTCTAGATGGTTTCAACTTTTTTACAATCCGTGGGCCCCACATGTATTATGGACGTTGATACTTGCATCTGCCTTCAACATATTTATTTTATATTATTATTTTTTAGAGTACGTAAATCGATTCCAAAACACACGTACTATTTAGATTAGGAGTACCGTTTAAAAGTAAGACTTCAAGAATTTTTCTCTCGAATTTCTACTAACGCCGTTATATCCCTGGAGGCTTTATATTATTATGTTTTAATTGTATTAAAAGTGTGTTAAAAAATAAAATTAATGCATTAACAACATATGCAATTGCGTTGAAAACTACTAGAGTGCCAAAGCTCTAAAGCCTAGAGGGTGATTGTTGAAGCATGAGATTGAATGAGTCACAGAATATGGCTATCACTGATCAATATCTATTCATATATCGATTAAAATAACTGATAAGGATAATAAAACACAAATTAATCAATGTAGCACTTTCATGGCCACCACCAGAATGAGCTACAACAAGGCCAATGTTATGTCAATTGTCAACCTGTTGGTGACAATGAGATTTCATGGAAACGGATAAAGGTTGAAATTAATTGAAAGAAAGAAAGGAAAGATGAGAAAGAAAGGGAAAAGTACAATTGATAATTGGTGTATTCATTGATGTGCCTTTTCAGTTCTGAAGGCTAAGCAATTGAAGGACCTCACTAAGAGGAGATTATCAGGTTTAATTATCCCTCACCTAGACCAATTCTTCCAAGATTTTCCTTGGCACATGTAAGCGTTTATTGTTATGTGTTAATTTTTCATCGAAGTCATTTTTAAGTCGGCAAACAAAGTCGTCAATCTTATTATTTTTAACATATTATTTAGCAAAAAAGTGAGGAAAGGGATTGAAGGAAAACAAAGAACATGCCAATATATACTTTGAGCTAGATTCATGCATTACAACATTCCATAATTTATTATTATTTAAAATAAAAAAAAATTACTTAGGTTTTGGTTTTTTTTTTTGATGGTACTTGGGTTTTGTTTTCATATGCATAAATAACTTGCCTTTTGGAGTTGGGTAATTGGTTGTCCCCTGCATCGACTAATTCCCATTTCAGCATGAAGATACTTTTGTTTAAGCATAAAATTGTTAGTCCACCATAGGTTAATGTTATTTTTTTTAGTCTGATTGTATCTACACACCCATTTCGGGTTGCTAACTCAACGGTAGAGTACTCGGCTTTTAAGTGCGGCTAGGATCTTTTACACATTTGGATGAAGCGAGGAATTCGCCCACACCATTGGTAAAGTTTGGAAGACAACGACTGATCTGAAAGAAAATGAAAGGGAAAAACTATCGTGTCAACATACAATCTCCATTTTCTTTATTTCATTTGTTTGGTTGCTTATGAAAGAGAGATTACATATCGCCACCTACTAATAATTGTGATGCTTGGATTAAATTAGTGTTGAAAGTGTGGCCATAATAAACGTGAACGATAATGCCAAAAAATTAGTTTCCTTTCTAATACACTTGATAATGCTGCAAGCAAACCCTACCTTGTACATCAAGTAAAGGGATTGGTCATCTTTGCTTCTACCCCATAAAATCACAAATATCTAATATATATGAAATGTCAAGAAGTAGAAAGGTAACTGGAAATTTCAAAATTACAATTTTGTTTTAACTAGAGCCAACAGCAGCAAGGGAACATCAGGGCATTTTAGTCCATATAAGATGGTTCCATAAGGGCAATTTTGCCTACATCAGATGAGTACCATGACAATAACCCACCTCACAAATTTAGCAAGAGCAAAGCTTACAACTAGAAAGTTTACTACAAGAATGCTCTCAGTAAGCTTGTGCTCTCATTGTCATTGCCAAAATGGACAGACCAGCTTAGGAAGCTAGAGCTCTTTCACAAGAAAAGGTCACTATAAATATATAAACTTATTTGTCTAACCCAAGGTTTCCATCCATTTGATGTCTGGGATGGAACCTATAATTAGACTTATTTACTCCGTCGAATTGATAAAAATCTTGTTTACACTCCAACAAATAAGTCTAAATAAAATAACCTTACTTTCATTTTTATATAGAATCACGAGTTAAAACACTCATATGGTATACAAATAGAGTATTTAACCCCCTAAGTCCCTAATCCTTTTTTTTGGTGTGAACAAGGGTATGTTATTAGTAGAGCGATTAAAAGACTAAAGTGTCCTTATATATTTAAAAAGAAAAAGATGAAAAATAAAATAAATATAGAATGACCAAAGTACCCTAATCAAAAGAGGGAGGAAAATGGTATTTATATATAAGGACATTTTAGAAAGACCAATTTAGAAATTTTGTTACCTTATATAGGCATGTGCAATGCACTTGACTACTTAAATGTGGTCTTCTGACCTATTACATGAATTAATCCCTTATTTCTTCATTTTTTAAAATTTAACAGACTTGTATACTCAAAATAAAAGTTGGGAGTGTTAATTGCCCAAATTTTAAACAGGGGTTTTCCTCACTCTACAGGGAAAAAACTAACATCCCCACTTTCATCGGATGTTAAGCTTTGTCCCAGACAAAATATGCCCTTAATATATAATAGAGTTTTAATCCTCCTATCATAAAGGTTATTCTAGTCAATTTGTAATTTTAGATCAGGTCTTCCAAGTGAAACAATCACTCCCAAAGAAAATTCCGCACTGGCTGCCACCACGATCACCGTCTCCCACCCACACCAGCGGCACCATACAACAAAGGGGGAGAGATAATATGGGTTACGGTTATTTTTTATTTTTTAAAATTACATTAATGCACACAACATTTTTATGAGGTAGCATCGTTTAATAAGGTTATATTTGTCTAAAAAGTATGGGGGCAAAGCTTAACTTGGCCATGATATGTAAACATATCATCATTTACCAACAGGCTAGTGGCCTAACAGTATTAAGTTCATACTTCTCAAAGAGAGGTCAAGGATTTGAGTTTTGGTAGAGACGTGTGTGTGAGTACCAACTAGAAAATATATATATATATATATATATATATATATATATATATATATATCATTTACACACAATGAGTGAGGAAAACAAATTAAAACAATGAGATCTGTCGCCTTTGTCTGGTGATGAGGACTGATCATGAGGGAGGTCGACCTTGGACCGTGGTCCAAACTGAGGAATCCATGTGATGCACAACCATCTTCAGCTTCCCCACCCTTTCCCTACCTTTCCCTTCCCTTGGAAAGTACATATTAGCAATCATATATCTACTAAATGCACAATACATACAAATCTCATCTTCATTTTCTCTGTCATGGTGTCACCCCAGTACCAATTGGCCAATAGATTCAACTTCCTTCAGTCTCTGGTACTGTCTATGTTATTGAGTTAAAAAGGCAAACACAACGTACAGAAAACATGTACACCACAGTTCAAGTGTTTTATGAATCCATGTGCAGATGGGGGCATAGGCCAAGATACAAACAAATGCATGTGAATGTCAATGTGTGTGCCTAATACCAATATGCATATTGTCTAATATAAAGCAAATGATCTTGGCAATGGTATGTTAACCAGATATTCAACAAAAAGAAAAGATATTGCCTTCAACAGCATATTTGACAAGGACACTTCTGATCCATGAACAATTATTGTAACAAAATCATTGGATTGCATCAACAAATTGTACTTCAACATTAATTTTAATACAATAGACTATAGGCCCATTCTACCAAAATTTTAACTTAATGCGGTAAAAATCTGCTAATCCAACAATAGCAGATAAAGTAAATGCATAGCCAAGCAAGATAGCAAGGGATGAGATGGGGGATGCAGACAGGGTATCAAAACACAAGTTTACCATTCCTGTGAGCATGTTTGCCTGCATGGATTTAAGGTGGAACATATAAAATTAGTATCCTGAGCTCATGAGAGGAACAACGTATTTACGAAGTAAAGAAATTAATAGGATATTGAATTCACCAGCAAAAACGATCCTAGTAAATTCTTGTTAAAAGCTTCTTCCAGCGTGGAAATTTTTGGTCCACCAATGTAGGCAGAAAGCATTAGTATAGCTAATATCTGCAAAATTAGCAAACTTTTTGATGGGAAGGCATCTTCGCAAGACTGTCGAAATCCACAACAATTACAAAACTATTCCAATTAACGTGGACAACCTAAGCACATAGCAATAAGCTCAAATAATATACTCGAACAAGGGGATACAAATGATAAGAGAGCTTCAAATGGGACGAAATTTCCCCTTTATGGTACCATAATTCATACATTCCTCAAATTAATAACCAATCAGCTGCAGGAACTCTCCCATAACAATCTGGTCTTCTGCCCATATAAAAACATGTCCCCCCAATTAGTCACTTGAAAAGGCAATCCCTTCCAACAAATTCCATTTTGGGGTTTTCACTGAAAAAGGACAAATAGCTTACTGATCAATAACATAAGAAAAGAGCTTCGTGCTCTTCATCAATAAAAAGATGGAGCATCCACGAACTTCAAACACTTTGGCCTGAAATACACCGTCCAATTAACAAGGTCTATACCTACTCATTCATGATATAGCAGTGAGAACTGGAATCACATGAGACTCAGCGGATCCTTGTTTGAGTCCTTGGGTAACCGACCGTGTCTTGGCTGAGTCTCTTTTTGAATCCCAAGGGACCCAGTAAAGTTGGCAATTAATTGGACTGGAATAGGGTTATGAGATAACCAAAATATCCATATCCAAGTGGAGCTAGCACAAAGAAACACTAATATCCCCGTCTCCACCCTAACTGTTGTTACTATATCTTATCTCTATCCTCAAGAACTTGCTAAAGGTCAAATTTTTAGGTACAAAAGAAAAGACTGAATGTGAACATTTTTTTTTCCTTTTTGATAATTGTGAACATTTTTGTTTTTTGAACATAAGATGATATATAGAGATATATGGAGAAATTGAAGAGAGGAATATAAAATGAAGAACAAAAGGATATAACGTGGTTCAATCACTAAGGCTTACATTTATGACACACAAAGCCCAAAGGGTTACATCTGTTTCATTACATTCTCTCTAATTTTTTTGTATACATTGATCACCTTTATTTATAGGTGAAAGAATACAAGTGATAAATATGAAAAATACATTGATAGAGTCTTAAAATTAATCCCAAAATCACTCCAATCAATAATCTATCATAGGCTAAAATCACTCCTATGATATTCTTCTCATATCAATATTCTGTCAAGGAGTAATTTAAGGGTTCCTATAATAATTTTCTCTGTTACAACAAACGCAGCGAACCAAGCAACAATTACGAAACACGACAGAAAAATAAACAAACCACATAAACAACACAAAGATTTATACGTGGTTCGGCAAAGCCTACGTCCATAGTGGAGATCCGGCGAAAGTCTTCACTATAATGTAAAATCAGATATTCCAAGTTTTCAACCCCCCACTCTCAATTCAGTACAGTAGAAATATAAAAAGGAGAAAAAGGAGAGAATTGCGTAAAGTCTTGAATGATATGAATTACTCATTCACAGCTCTAATATTTATAGATAAAATGAGCACATGCTCATATTACAAGAAAGGAAACTAAATCAAATCAAAATCAAATCACAACTTATTCTAAAGCATATTCTATGACATATTCTATAGCATAGTCAAATCTCTGCTATTATGGTAAGTCATACCATAAATCGTGGTATCATATATGCTATTATATGCATAGTCAAATCTCTGCTATTATAGTAAGTCATACCGTAAGTCATACCATAAATCATGGTATCATATATACTGATACTCTCCCTCAAGTTGGTGCGTGGATATCTGAAACGCCCAACTTGGACAATGCATTCTCAAACACAATCTTGCTGACGCCCTTTGTAAGAATGTCTGCAAGCTGCTGAGAGCTTGTGACAAATGGAGTGCAAATTTGACCAGAGATGATCTTCTCTCGAATGAAGTGACGGTCCACCTCTATATGCTTAGTCCTGTCATGCTGAACGGGATTTGCTGCTATGCTAATGGCAGACTTGTTGTCGCAGTAGAGAGAGAATGGAAGCGACACTGGAAGGCACAAGTCTGTCATCAAGGTTTTCAACCAAAGCAACTCACCTACCCCAAGAGCCATAGCCCTATACTCTGCCTCTGCACTAGATCGAGAGACAACATCCTGCTTCTTACTGCGCCAAGTAACCAAGTTACCACCAATAATGGTACAATAACCTGAAGTAGACCTCCTATCTGAAATTGATCCTGCATAATCAGCATCTGTCCAAGCCTCAACACGTAAGTGACTATGATTGACAAACAAAATACCACGGCCTAGACACCCTTTTAAGTAGCGAAGGATCCGAATAGCTGCATCAAGGTGTGGGGCACGAGGAGAGTGCATGAATTGACTCACAACACTCACGGCATAAGCAATGTCAGGTCGAGTCATGGATAAATAGATGAGCTTCCCCACAAGTCGTTGATACTGACTAATATCTGAGAATAACTCCCCCTAAGAATCAGCCAACCGATGATTCTGCTCAATCGAAGTATCAGCAGGACGAGCGCCAAGCTGACTAAAAGCAGAAAGCAAGTCAAGAACATACTTGCGTTGAGAGATGAAAATGCTAGTCTTAGAGCGAGCCACCTCAATGCCCAAGAAGTACCGTAGGGGACCAAGATCCTTAATCTCAAACTGACGGCCAAGATAGCTCTTAACCTCATGAATTCCGGTAGTATCATCGCCGATAAGAATAATATCATCGACATACACAATGAGAGCAATTGTTTTACCGCCTGAATGACGTAAAAACAAGGTATGATCAGCTGCACTTTAATGGAAACCAAACTTGAGCATAGCAGTGCCAAAGCGATCAGACCAAGCTTGAGGAGACTGCTTGAGGCCATACAGAGAACGACGAAGACGACATACCATACCAGAATGAGCAGGAAAACGAAAGCCCGGAGGAGGAACCATGTATACCTCCTCCTACAAATCACCATTAAGAAAGGCATTCTTGACATCTAACTGAAATAAAGGCCAAGATCGAATTGCAGCAACGGAAAATAATACACAGATGGTATTCATCTTGGCAACAGGGGCAAAAGTCTCCTGATAATCTATGCCATAAGTCTGAGCATAACCCTTGGCAACCAATCGGGCCTTGTAACGAGCAACTGACCCATCTGGATTATGCTTAACTGTAAACACCCAACGACAACCCACAGCCTTTCGTCCAATAGGAAGCAATTCCATGTCCCAAGTCTGATTTTTCTCAAGTGCTTGTAGTTCTTCTGTCATAGCATCACGCCATTGAGGTTGTGCTAGTGCATCTGCAACACTAGAAGGAACAGGGACCTAGGCAATAGAAACAAGAAAACTCCAATAGGAGGGTGAGAGAGCATAATCAAAAACAAAATTAGAAATAAGGTACGTAAAAGAACGTTTACCCTTTCGAAGAGCAATGGGACAATCATCAAGCGAAACAATAGCTTGAGAAGGCGGAGTTGGTGCCGAAGGAACAGGGCAGTCGATCATGGGAGTAGAAGCTTGTACTTGTGGTCTCCAACTATAAACCTGTGAAAAAGGAACAATTCCCCCTGCTGGAAGGGTATCACGAGGAGGAATCATAGAAGAAGAAACAGGTAATGGTAGAGGAGTTGAAGACGGAAGAAGGTGATCATCCATTATATTCAATGGGAACCATTCACTCTGAGAACCAACTAAACCACTATAGTATGGTGTATGTTCAAAGAAAGAAACATCCATGGATATAAATCGCCGACGACTGGGAGGATGGTAACACCTATAACCTTTTTGAGAGTGAGAATAGCCTAAAAACACACACTTTAAAGCCTTGGGGTCAAGTTTTGTACGAGTTTGCCCCAACTGCTGAACAAAGCACATACACCCGAAAACTTGCGGAGGAATAAAAAAAAGAGATGAATTGGGATGTAAGATTGAGAGTGGGGCTGCAAAGTTAAGAATCCTAAAAAGAGTCCTATTAATGATGTAAAAAGCGGTAAGAACTGCATCTCCCCAAAAAGACTGGGGAACATTCATGCCAATGCAGATTGCTCTGGCTAAGTCAAGGATGTGGCAATTCTTTCTCTCAGAACGATCATTCTGTTGAGGAGTTTTAACATTAGCCATCTGATGCTCAATCCCAAATTTTGTACATAACCGTTGTACCTCCCCATAAGTGTACTCAGTACCCTGGTCAGATCGGAATTTTTTAATGGTACGACCATATTGAGTCTGAACCATTGTCATAAAAATTTTAAAAATGGTGTATACCTCATTTTTGGTTTTCATAAGATAAACCCAACTAACACGACTGTGATCATCAATGAACAACACGAAATATCGATATCCAAGACTAGAAGTAACCGAGCAAGGACCCCACACATCTGAATGAACAAGATCAAAAGGTGTTAAAGCAGATTTATTACTACTAGCAGGATAATTGGAACAAACATGTTTAGCCATATGACATGTTTCACAGGATAAATCTGACACTGCCACGTTACAAAATAAGGAAGGAAATAAATGTTTCAAATAACCAAAAGAAATATGTCCTAAACGTATATGCCAACACATAAGCTGGGCTTTATTAGATGAAACAATATTAGAAAATGAAGCTGAATGTGCTTAAGGTGACAAAGGAGCATCCAACAGGTATAAACCGTCCACTTCACGCCCATTACCACTCGTCCGATTCGACACCAGATCCTGAAAAATACAATGAGAGGGAAAGAACGTTACACTACAATTTAATTGTTTGGTAACGCTACTAACAGAAATAAGATTTATAGTCAACTTTGGAACATGAAGTGTATTTGACAAAGTTAATGAAGGAGTAACTGATATGTGACCCTTCCCAGCAATGGAAGATGGAGAGCCATCCGCAAGGCGGACCTTGCGTTGACCAGAGCAGATACTATAAGATTGGAAGAGTGAGGACATACCAGTCATATTGTCTGAAGCACCAAAATCAATGATCCATGGTGTTGAAGATGTAGATACGCTATGTGCAGACACAATAGTACCTGAGTGGGCATAAGTGGAGGTTGGTTGAGATGATGCCTCCATTTGGTTGAAGAATTGCTTGAACTTGTCCAAATCAGCTTGAGTCAAGGTAACTGTGGCAGAAGATGTAGAGGCAGGGTTATCAGGAGTTGACAACAAGACTGGTTGTGTAACAGAATATGCAGAGGATCGAGGTTGTTGTTTCTGTTGCAGTGGACGTCCATGTAGAGCATAACAACGAGATTTGATGTGACCAATTTTTCCGTAATGGTCACACCGTCCACGTTGTCGTCCTAGAGGAGGACCGGTGGTAATGCTCTGAACTCACTGGGATGGTGAAGTTCCTGAAAGGTTGGGAACCCGAGCTGCCATAGCAGAACGATCAACAGAAGCAACACCTAATGGATGAGACCGGCAGCTCTCATCTGACAACACATAGGAGTATGCATCCTCAAGAGTAGGGAATGAAGATAAGCCCAATAAATGAACACGAGCATACTCAAACTCGTCGTTAAACCCGGCAAGAAACTGAAACACTCGATTCTTCTCCACAATTCCTGCATATAAAACTGCATCATCTGGATCCTTCCAAGAGTGGAAGGAATCATAATATGACATCTCCTCCCAAATAGCACGAGGCTTGGCGATGTAACCTGAAACTGTCAAGTCAACCTGAGAAATCCTGGTGATATCTCACCCCAGTTAGAAAATTCGTGCATTATTCTGCCTCTGAGAATAAGTGTGTTGAACTAAATCACAAATCTGCTTAGCAGTCTTCATAAACATATAGCCAACCGCTATGTTTGGTTGCATCGAATTGACTAGCCAAGACATAACCATAGCGTTATCTGCAAACCACTGTAGATATGCCTTCTCTGACTCAGCTGGCTCGTTCTCAGAACCAGTAATATAGCTAATCTTGCCTTTGCCACCAATGAACATCTTGGCAGACTGTGTCCAAATCAAATAGTTGGAACCATCCAACTTCACTGTGGTGATTTGAAGTCCTAAATTTTCTTATGAGTTGGTGGGAAAAATGGCACCACCACCCACAGAACGTGAGCCAAGAGAATTAACAGTCGAGGACCCAGAATCTGCCATAATCTATCACACGACAATAAAAAATAAAAAACACCAAAAATTCTATTAATAAATTAAAGCGTCTTCTCGGACCATAAACAATGTCTCCTCAGACCATTCCCAAAAAATCCAAATACATACTTTTTTTAAGGAGCGCTGTCCGCTTACATTTAGCCAGACAGCCTCCTTCTTAATATTCGGAACCTCTTTGTAGACTAATTTTTTTTTACACAAGCCCTTCTAGGTGTTGGAAACCAACTATCCCAATTTACCCAACCCTAAAAGAGTGAAAAAGAAATTGTAAAACTTAAAAATACCTGTTTTTGATCACAAAACAGCAACACAGAAAAACATGTGTAGGCAAAATCACACGATGTCACAAACAGCCTAAGGTAGCACAAGTAGCAAGGCTGCTGAAAGGTGTGGAAAGGTGTTGGCTCTGATACTAAGTAGAAATATAAAAATAAGAGAAAGGAGAGAATTGCGTAAAGGCTTGAATGATATGAATTACTCATTCACAGCTCTAGTATTTATAGATAAAATGAGCACATGCTCATATTACAAGAAAGGAAACTAAATCAAATCAAAATCAAATCACAACTTATTCTAAAGCATATTCTATGGCATATTCTATAGCATAGTCAAATCTCTGCTATTATGGTAAGTCATACCATAAATCGTGGTATCATATATGCTATTATATGCATAGTCAAATCTCTGCTATTATGGTAAGTCATACCATAAATCGTGGTATCATATATGCTAACAAGTACGAATTTCAGTGTCTCTCTCACACCCACTCCAAACCCTAAACGCCCTTATATATTAGGCTACAAAAGAGTACTAATTTGGATCCACGACCCATAAGCAAAAATAGGTTAAAGCTCAACAAACGAGCAGTCGGGTCGCAACGCTACCAGGCACCTAATTCGGGCCACAACATCATATTCTCCAATACCCACAATCTAGGTCACTTATAGAAGGAGGATCATCATAGAGATGGACTTTGATCTTCAAGTATCCCAACATCACATTCTCCAACACCCACAATCTAATAGAAGGAGGATCATCATAGAGATGCTTTGATCTTCAAGTATCCTTCACAATTGAAGAGAAAGCCTTGAGACTGTTCTCGTAAAGCAATCGAACAACCAAATTATCTAAAGGCAAGTTCATCTTTTTCGATTTTATGTTCGGATGAAAAATAAAGTGATAAAGGTCTCACAATCTTTTCTTAAATCGCTTTGCTTCATTCACATGGCATGTTATATAATTACATTTTATCCCCTTCCTCAAACCTTCCTGCCCTGACTAAAATTCTCATTATATTCCAATTCAATTTCTATAAATGGTTTTAGTTTTTTTTTTTTTTTTTAATATTTATACGATGCTTACTATTTTTGTTTTATAATCATTTATATATCGTATAAGAATGTATTGGGAAGTTAAAAGTTTGTCGAACACATCTTCAAGTGTAAAGTGTTAGCTATGTATCAAATTATAATATATATGTTTAAACTCTAGATGCATCCACAATGGGAAGGGTTGTATCAATATCAAACAAGGCTCTTTTTTACTTGTGCTACAGAAGCTTGCTAGCCTTAGCACACAAACCTCCATTTCCAATTGAGCACAAACAGGAAAAAACGACCACACAGTTCCAATAAGCAAATGCAGTAACAGTGACAATAACATGAAAAAGAAAAGAAAAGAAAAAAAAACAAAGAAAGAAAGAAAAAAGAAAAGAAGACAATAACATTGAACAAAATGGACACCCTGCTCTTTCCTTATCCTCTCTATTGCTGTTTTTACTTCTTTCACCCAAGTAAGAGGGATGATGAGCAGCAGATACATGAATATGTAGAAGAACAGAAGTGAGAAATGCCAAGCTAGGTAGCCTCTTCTCTGAATTCTTCAATTCAGGCCCTAACCTCTGTCAGCCCTCTCCATTCCAAGCACCCCGAAAACATCTGGAAGCAACCAAAAATAGATCTTCTCCAAGCAAAAGTTGGCTCCAGACCATGAACGCCTTAAGTCCAGATGCAATGCCCTGCCCTTTTTCCAATCTAGCTCGATTATTCACCTCTCCAACAAGTAATTACTACAGTGAGTCCAACCCACATCTTATGTACTCTTAGACTATAGGCCATCACATAACCCACAATCTGCACTCTAATGACTGTTTCGTAGTAACTAAATTAATAGCTGTGTCAAAACCTTTGGATTGCTAGCATTGTCTCATCCAACCAATTTCAACATTTGAGCAAAATTGATTTATTGGAGCGTCCGTTGGCATGCATTTAGAAGGAACTGAAACAAAGAATTTCAAATTACGAATTTGGTGCTTTAACCCTTCCACCCTATTTTCATCTTCTTTTGCTTTTTCTTTTTTTCATCTTTCTTCGCCCATCCAACTAAAAACTCACATGTTACCTAATTTTTGCAGTGAATAAAATATCTCAAGTGAGCATTTCCATGTGCTTAGAAACTTATTGCAAAGGTTGGATCATTTTCTTTGCATCTCAATTCTTGACAACTGAAACACATTCTTAAAGTACTACTTTGAGATATGAATGCTAAAACAACGGGGACTTTACGTAATTCTGGTCCCGATACAGCATGGTCTTGGGGAGGGAGGACCCGAGACAACCTAAAATTTGATATTTCCCGAAGTGACTACTCTGAGGCTCGAATTCACACCCATGGCGCTGATGTTCAAGTGTTAAATTAAACCACTGAAGCAGGCAACGACACTCAAAATACTTAAGCTACACAAATTATGAATGCTAAAGAATATAAAATCCTAGAGGTTCCACCCCACTCTCTTTCCCAATAAGGAAAAGTCCCACTGAAGTTCGGAAAATACTAGAGTTACGACCTCTCTAACAACTTAAGCTTTTGAGTGGTTGGTACCAAATATGGTATTATGGTATATTATCGCACTCACCCTCATGAGATTTAATGCAAGTGCTTTGTGAGTTGGGCCACACTTGAGGGGGCATGTTAAAGGACATAAAAATACTTAAGTTACACCCTCACTACAGCTCAAGTTTTTGGAGTAGTTTGTTTATAAAATGACCATAAGGAGCAGTTCTTCTAATTAATAAGGGCAAATTATCAACCTCCCTTTCCCTTCAATATGGACCTGCACTTCTCTAAATAGTAAACTACTCACCTTCTTGCCTTTGTTGGTGATGCAGTACCAGCTTCAGACACATCATCCCAATACTAGCTAGATTGTCCCTGTTAATGACTACTTCATTATTAACATTAATGCACTTGCTTGGAACATCTTTCCCCGATACCTCCAAACAATCACGCCTTATAACACCAAGACAACGAGACAAACAACTTTTTGAACTCTGCCCAACGTCAAGTGGCTATGTTAATGGAAAAAGATATGAATCTGACAAAAAAAAAAAGAAGAAAAAGGCAGCAGAACAGTAAAATGATCACAATTCGCAATAACTGTATACATAAATGAAGTGTCCAACAACTCGATAAACAGTCGATAATCACCAACTCTTATAAAGACTTGAACAAACTAAAAAACTATTGATAATAGTAAATAAAAGTTATGAGAAACCAAGATCTGACTGATGATTAAGTACACAAATAATAGTATAATGAATTCTAAAACGGATGAAAAATAGATATACCCAATCACATCCATATATTGATAGAATTAGAAAAGAAAATGAGAATGACCTGAAGGTTTAGAGCCAATACAAGAGTAACAAAAGCCAGGTTGCACTGCAGAAGAATTTTAATTAGTTCTGGTCAACTGATAGTTATTAGAAAGAATTAATTTCTTTTTTCATAATAGCATTGTTACCATAAAATTTTCATTCTCTAATAAACGAAACATAATTAACCTACCATTCTACGGGAAACTCTTTCAACATACTTGTCCAGAAACATAGTCAATAACCTGCGGCATTGCCACAGGAATGGAGTCACTTCACAATGAAGTCAATCAAAAATTCAGGCAGAAAAAATTGTAATAACAAAAAATTAAAGCAATAATAAGATATACCAAAATGAAAGAGTAAGAATCCACACTCTAATCATTGCCCATTTGTAGGATCTCAACATAGCATTTGAATGGCTTCCAAAGAAAAGATAGCTGCCCAAATGAACACCAACAAGATACATACCCCAGTATCCTGAGAAAAATTATTGAAAAAAATATACCGTCAAGTATAAATTTCATCTCACAGTCATCACATTTAGAACCTTGAAATCTCATGGATGATACCTTAAACAGTGCAACATTAAGAATATAATACAAGCAAATGTTAAAGGACCTCATAGCCAGAAAATTCAGGTTAGATGTAGATGAAAGGACTCATAATAAAGAAAGAAGGTGCACTTTCTTTTTACTTATGATAGGCCAAACCCACTCGCCTAATACAGACATGGGAATGCAGAAAATTTGAAAAAACAAAATACATATATATACAACAAGGACATGGAAATATATATTAATGTTTACCTTCTTTGTATAGACGAATAAAATATTATAAAAGAAAAACTTTTAACTTTGATTAATTGAATGCCATATTAACACTTGTACAATGTATAATATGGAGTTCAACAAATATCAGACAAATAATAATATTACACCCACTACAACTCTCAGTTATTGTTTTTAAAAATTATATAATTTTCATATTAAAAAGCTATTTGTTGCATGCTTGGCTTGTAAAAACCAACCGTAAGGTGAGAAATTTATTAGGTAAAGGAAAAGAAAAGTAAGCTGCTCCAGGGTGTTCCTGATGTTTCTAGAAGTGCCAGAAGCAAATATAGGAAGTGTCTAGACAAGGTATGACAGATACTCCTAGAATGGAGCAGTCTCTTCTTGAACAATCCAAGAAAAAGTGGCACTTGCTGAACTTGTCCATAATTTGAAAATAATTTTCATAATTTTAATCTCTCAGCCAACACACCCATAGACAAGTACCTGCTCTAAAAACAGCAGAAATCTTTTTCGACAGTGAAAACTCAACAGCTTCCAGATGGCTTTCACGACACTAACACAAACCCTTCCAAAAAATCAGTGGACCTTGACCATCCACTCAAAGCTAAAATCTGAAGCATTAAAAAATGTTTAAATAAAAATAGAAATTAAAACAAAACAAGTGAGTGATACGGTACCTAAGAAGCACGGACACTCCAAAATGGACGAAGAATCCGTGTCCGACACGTGTCGGACACGGACACGCGTCGGACACGCCCCGACACGTGTCGGACAAGCCAAAAAACGTGTCTGGAATTTTTTTATTTTTTTTTATTTTCGGACACGGCTTGGACACGGCTCGGACACGGCACAGACACGGCTCAGACAGCTCGGACACGGCTCGGACAGCTCGGACACGGCTCGGACACACTTTTCTGGATTTTTTTTTTAAATTTTTAATGCTGATATGTTAATTTTTTTTTTTTTTTTTAATTTTTAATGCTGATATGTTCTATTTTTTGTTTTGTACTACCCTAAAGATGCTGATATATATATATACTAACATATCAGTGATATATATATATATTCCAACCTAAACATATCAGTGTTTTTTTTTTAAATTATTAATGCTGATATATATATATATATATATATATACTATTTGCCGTGTCCGTGTCCTAATTTTTTTGGATTTGCCGTGTCGCTGTGTCCGTGTCGTGTCGTATCCGTGTCCCGTATCCGTGTCCGTGCTTCTTAGGTGATACCAAAAGGGGCTGCAAAGGCCCGCATAAGAGGGATTACTAATGCAGCCCATCATGGCCAGAAAATCGACAGCCACTAGACACTGGGAGACTCTAGTAGGAAAATATAAAAGTTGGATAATTTAAGAGTCAGCTGAAAAGGCAGAGGTTCACATTTTCTACTGCAGGTTGCATGGTTACGAAAAGCCCAAGCCTGCAGAATCTGACACCTTACTGGAAAGAAAGAAATCTTGGTGCAAAAAAATATAAAAATTTGAATATGATAAAGTAGCTTGAAATGCCAAAACAACTTATTCTTCTTCAACAACTTCTTCTTTATTTTTTATTTTTTTAATATGAAGCATAGTTGTTAAAATCTTATGATATGATTAAATGAGAACCAACAGCAAATCACATGACTAGATAGTCCAAAACAGTTCATGCAATTCGATAGCCTGTAAAAATTACCATAAAAATAAAAATAAAAATAAAAAATCTCTTATCGTTTTATGTTTTATTTATCATTATTTGCCTCTTTTTTCCCTCGTGTTATTGGTGATTCCTAGAGTCTCTTTAAGAGAATATCTTTCTTTCGACAAAGCTTCAAACCAAAAACTTTTTCCTCAAATGTTCATACCAGCGAAGAGGATATTTTGAAGCCAAATTTTTTGGTGATTAAAGAGGTTTTGTACTATAGAATTTTTTTCATTTTTTATGACTACAAAAAAATTGCTAGGAAAAAATGGAGTCAAAGTAATATGACCTCCCATGGGACTATTGTAATAGATGATGAATTGATGATATGGGTGGTAAAACAAGAATGCACCTAAGAGGTAAAAATTATGATAGTGTGTACTTGGATAGCCTATTTGATTGAAACATCAGTTAGTCAGAACTAACCAAAATGCTATGATCGCGCACAAGTTTCAGACTCAATGTGAGATATAAATTTGTATATTGGCAAATTTCGGAGCCAAAACTTGGTGATCGAGTTGTAATTTTGTTTATCTTGAGTCTCGGTCTTTTGGAGCTGAAGCACAAGTGCCTCTTACCGTTGAATCCGTTGAGAACATCATTTAGAACAGGTAAGTGAGTGAGGAACATTTGTGAGTATTTTTTAAAGTTGGGTACGAGAGTTTAGGTTGGAAATAGCATTCAGCAAAGTCCAACCAATTTTCTAGTTGAACCGGTTGCACTTCCTGATCAAAAACAGCTCTCAGGGAAAATCCAACCAGTTTCAGTTTCTAACGGAAAACAGGACTCAGTGAAAGTCCAACTGGTTGCACTATGAAGTCCAACCAGTTGCACTTGCCTCAATGTGCAAAAAGTTAGTTTTTGGTAACTTTTTAGTTTCCTGGTTTTACCCAAACTTGTAGGCCAGTCCTTGCACGATTTTAAAAGCTCTTTTTTAGAGATTTTTTAGAGAAATCTGATTGTATATTTTTTAGAACACACACACTTAAACACGAGAGTGGTTAAGATGATGTTCTTCATCGAGTCTTCGTATTACAAGTTGATCGGAACAACAGATTTTCTACAACTCTTCACAAAATTCAAATTTGAAGGAAGACGAGGTTTTGATCACACTTTGAAGGGGTCAAAACATTCGTGGAGTGTTGGTTGATCTACGAGCGATCTACAATGATCAAGAGTAAGCCTCAGGTTAAGAGCTGTTGAACGGGGAGTTGCAAAGCCAGGGACTGTCAGTGATTGGTTTTTGGTAGAGCGAAGGGGTGTAAGCCTGAATCAGAGTCCACTGTAGTTTGCTTAACAATAGTGGATCGTTTTTCTCGGGACTGCGAAAGTTCTCGAGTTTTTTCCAAACGACCAATCAGAGTTTCCTCACTAAAAACCTGAAGTCATCTCTCAAATTACTTGTTTTACTTTATGGTACTACGTATTCATTTGTGTGGTTGTGCATGTTTAATTGATCATTATTGTTGGTAAATTAAACAATCACAAAAATTGGGCAAGTTGACCTATTCACCCCCCTCTAGGTCATTTAGAGTGTTAATCACAACTTAATCAACTAACAGCTTCCGCACCGCGCTATTCACACTCAATAGATTATTTTTCTAACAAACTTTAATAAAATGAAAAAGAATAGTTAAAGGCGATTAGGTGGGTTGTAAATGTTGGTGTAATGAGAACTGTGTTACGGTCGAAAAGTAAAATTATGAAACATTAATAAATAAAAAGACCTTAAGAGATGGTATAGAAACAGGAATCGGCCATTCAATTTAATTGGTAGTGCGAGAAAGGCATAATAATCCCTTTCCAGCATGAGATGAGACCATACTCTTGTAAAAAGGAGCTGACAAAATTGAGGCAATGTTTAAACAAGCATAAAAAGACTCAAACAGGGTGGTGATGAAGCTGTCATGCATTCTTATATCGTACATCTCAACAAATTATTTTATTATTTCGGTGGGTGTACTATTCCTAAAATCACTAATGTATATTAAAATTCATGAAACGGATTGTTTCATGATTACACCTATGGAACATACTCAAGGTTCAATAGTCGCGTGTTATTGAGTATCTGAAAACTGTCTATTACATGTCTGCAATTGGGAACATTTTTTAATTTTGACATATACAAAGTGTGTAGGATACACGTCCAAAGTTTCTGAGAAGTGCCACGCTCGACTGTCTGACATGAGCATACTCACAACAGAAGTATTAGTGCTTCTAGGGAATTAAAACAATCAGGTTTTACCCAAGATTGGGTCCATTCCGAGGTCCATTTTATAGAATATGGCCTGCTGTTTTAAATTCATATAATGAAGTAGGTCAAGTGAGATCATCCTTCAACTGATCTGTCTTAGATCTGGATTGCACTCAGGTTAACCAAAAATACCCATTAGAATCCAAATACCCATTTAATTATGAACTAAAATTAGTAAAAACCCTTTTATAAAGTTCAAAGTTAGTTCTTTCATATTATAGTCTCCAAAAGTATACAAGTTCTCGCTCCACAACAACAAAACCCAAAAATGGAGGAGGCATGCCTTCAGGAGATCAACTGCAACATCCTTTGCTCGGTGACCACCTGGACAGCAGCTTCCAACAATCAACCTCGGCTCAACTCAATCCCCATCACCAGGAAGCCCTAAGCCTCCTCTGGCAACCATTGGTGGGATGCCATCCAACAAGCCAGATCTAAGTGCCCTCTGACCAACTTTCCCTCTCCGACCTCCCCCCTCTTTGACCTTCAGAGGGAAGCTCAACAACAAGGCACTGAACAACACGGTACTATACCTTCTAACCATCATCACCCTTTTTGTTCCTAGTACGTAAGCTTCTGTTTGTCCCTAATTAAATCATAACTACTAAGTCCTTCCATCTCCTTATATCTATCCAACTTTCTTTCTTTCTTTCTTCCTTCCTTCCTTCCTTTCTTCTTCTTCCTTTGTCGATAGGATATTTATTAATGCAACTTATCACTTAAATTTCTGAAAAAAGTTCAACCCTTTCACATGGATATGATCCAAAGATAACTAGATCTGATATTGTGTGTGTGTGTCTTACATATTTGGGTCTATGCACATTTTCTCAGTTTCATACAATTAAAATAATAAAAAACCTATTCAAATTTCCATCCTATTTGAACTCAGTTTGATCTTCAAACATAATCTAAGATCCAAGGCATGGACTTTAACAATAAAATAAGTTTCTAAATATGGATTTACATGGATCTGCCCATTTCATGCCAATGAGCATACATTTAGATTCGTGATCCAGCATATAGAAAACAACCAGGTTCTAGCAAAAATATTACATCTAGGCAGAGTATTTCCGGTAAATGCAAAATGAACCTTTTCTATCTAATATAAAACAGCAGGTGAAATAGCAATATAATAACAACATATCAATATACTCATAAGCTCCCAAATGAGCCAAAGGTTAAACAACACTCATATAATAGTTCATGTTGACAACCATCCACTCTAAAAGCTTAAGCTATTAGAGACGGTGTAACTTTAATATTTAAATCCTTCAGCACGCCCCCCTTACATGTGGCCTTCTTTGGTCCAACATATGTTTCAATTTTTAATTATTAGGGTGACGGTGAGGTTTGAACCAGAGACCTTTGGCTTTGATACCATGTTGACAACCATCTACTCCAAAAGCTTAAGCTGTTAGAGAGGGTGTAACTTTAATATTTAAATCCTTCAACAGTTAATAACACTGGTAAAAGTATAAATCCAACTGAAAGACCAAGTGAAAAAGGTTATGAAACAACTTAAGACATAAATTATAAGTCATCCTCACCAAATATGCTAAAAATTCCCTCCTTGTTTAGGCTAATAATGTCTGTTCCCCTTTCATTAGAAAGCATATACTTATTTAAGCCAAGCATCAAGCAAACTTGGTACCCTGAGAAAAAAGAAAAGTCAACAAAATGTACCAAGAGAACCAAGCTCTTTCTAAGAAGTAATAATAACTAAAACAAATGAAAGTGTACCTACTAGAATCAATGAACCTAGAATCCCACAATATTGTGTCTGAATGTTAATTATTGTTGTAAGGATTGATACAGCAGCAAGTGTAAAAAAGAAATTCCAATGCACTCCGTATTCCCCCACATGAACCTATGAGGAGAGAAAGTGAAGACTGGCCTCATATAAAAGTACATAACAAACTGTAAAGTCAAACCATGAAACTGCTGTAAAGACAAGATTAAGCAAAAGTATCCCATCTACAGTGAAGAAGTATGCTCATGCATTCTTCATTGTTGTGATCTAACCCTATTCTCTTTTTTGCTTTTAGTGGTTCCTTTGGCAACAAATGCAATAAAAGAGTCCCTATATAGAAGCTTTTTAGCATTGAAGAAGTTGCATTCGTTCCATAATAAATAACTTACACACCCATTTTGCCCCACTGGGTAGAACCATCGAGTTGAACCAAATAACTCTACTGATATGGATTTTGCAGTTAGACAAGAACTTTAAATTTTCATTAGATAGAGGCTATTGACCTACAACAGGAGGAGGAGGGAGGGAGGGAGGTAGTGGGAGGTGGTTCTTTGGTAAATGAGAACAAATAAATAACAACATTAGAGAGTCATCAAATAACAATCCAGAGGTCTCATGTTTTACTCCAGCGGGCATTAAACCGACTTACTCGATACCCATGGTTTTGGGATGATTGAGGTATCAAAGGGATCAGTTCCACTCCCAAAGGTGGTGGAGACACTCAGTTACAAAAATAAAACAAAATAGAAGTCTTCTTTAATCAACAGTGTAGTTTAAAACATTGTTGGACCCTGTGATGTTGTGGCCCATATTTGGCGTTGTGACCCATTTAGAACAGAAACAATCTACATAAGACAAATAACCACCAAAGAATTAAACCAGGCAGCTAGTTTGCAGAAAAAAGTAGGATCTATTTTGCTTTGGTACCACTTAAGAATGAAAACCTGAACTTCCTTTATTCTTGGACTTGAAGGAGGACAGTGAAGATAAAATATAAATAATAAAAATTGGGGTTAAGTTTTTTGTATAATAAAGATTTCCATGCCTCATCATCTAGATGTTGGTAGGTCAAGATAGAGTAAATTATCAAAATAGCCCAGTACTAAACTACTGACGAATGTACTTGTTATGGACTTGTTTTCCCCTTCCAGTTGAACCTCCATCACACCAACTAGTGACAATCCCCTCATATTTTTGTATGTCGTGACACTTATCTTCTGCCTAATTCTTTTTAACAAAATTTTTTTTTCCAATAAAATTAGAATATATATTTTCTAAAAGAACTGTGCATTGAATTTTATTACAATAGCATAATCGCAAAGATCATTCAGAGATGAGAAATTGATAGTTAGATGTCAAAAATCACTAATTTGACGCAGAACATCTCTCTCTCTCTCTCTCAGAGTTCAATTTTTTTAACAAACTAGTTCTCACTCAATGAGCAACTCTTTTTCACCGTAGTTGCATTTCTATTAAAGTTCAACTACCTCATAATGGATATTGATGACCATGATAAGCACAAAACAAAACTGAAGTAGAGGTGGTCACTTACCATGGCTGGAAACTGCCAAAGGCAATCAGATTTGCAAGTTCAAGCCTGAATCCAAACCATTTACTAACGCTAAACTTACTGAGCAGAGAACATATATAGGTGTCTGAAAGTAAGTGTAACGTGAAGTACTAGTCTAGTGAAGAGTTTAGCAATTAATTTCTACTAATATATAATCCATATGCAATTAATTTCAACAAAAAGAGACGATCACACGAATTTTGTGCGTGTTATCTACTCCATAAGCAGGAATACACACGCACACACACCCAATATATATCATACGTAAAAAAAGAACCAAGGCAAACTAGGAAAATTCTACCTGATAGTCCACACTTGTCGTGGTAACCAACCGTGCAAACCCAAGAAAAATTAACGGACTAGTAGATAGAAGTGCACTTTTCAATTTCCTGAAGCAGCAAGGAGAAACAAGAAATCCCAACATTATTATTTATAAATGACAATGGAAGTAGTACAATCTCTTGAGATATTTCAATACCGAGAAGATAGAGTCAAGCATTTTTCATCACATAAAAGCATGATTGTGTAACAACGTGTTCAAAATTATAATACTTAACCAATCAATTCAGGGAAAAATGTAAACCCAATAATAAAGATGTAGTTTCCCCAACCAGACAAGCATACATAAGAGGTATTGAGGAGTCTGCCCACCTAGTCTTTGAATTGTTTATTTTAAACCTAAATATGATTTTATTTTATTTTTGGTCCCTGGGCAACCTAAATCTGATTTTAAGATACTGTTTTAAAATTTCTTTATTTGACGGTTATTTAAGTTCTGATCAAAGGTACTTAGGTCATCCTACCTCCACTTTAAAAAATCAAATAGATTTTTATTGAGTCAAGCGACTATTTAATGGATTTTTAGTTGCTTTAGCTTAGCTTCTTTGGCAAGAAAGAATAATAGCTCATAAATTGGATTTAAATAAAGGATTGAGATTAAATATATGTTAGGGGCAACCTTACGATCACATAAACGAGTTGTTCCAAATGGTTCACGAAAGCATTTGGAATACGTTTGGCACGATGGAATGGAATACCAATTCTAGTCTTCATTCCTGTTTTACTCTTTGGTAGATCACGTCAAAGTAGGAATAATCATTCCCTTCGAATGAACATTTCCACAAAAAATTGGAACGGGGCCTCTTCAAGAGTTAGGAAATGGGCATTCCATTCCATTAGATAGTCAAAATAAGATACACTATCCATCGGGGGAAAAAAAAAAACAGACATACTAGGACAAAAATGCCCTAACCCATACATGTATACACACACACACACACACACACACATTATGTATAACATTGTATATAAAATAATATGTGATATATATATATATATATATATATAAAAAATTTATTTCACCTATAATAAAATAAAACAAATATATAATTATAGGGGAAAGTAACTTCCCCACCTGCATATGGAGTTTAAGACTTGTCCCCGTATATATATATATATATGGACAAAAATAGTCACATTGGATCATGCCACATCATAAAAACCATGGGTATTGATGTAATTTAACCCCATTTACTCTCTGAGAACTCGATCGTGTCTCTCTCAACTTTTAATCTCTCCCGACGTTTCTTTTTTTTCATGAGATCCAAACTTTCGGCTATGGGGTTCATTCACCAATATACCAACAAATCATTGTCTGCTATGAGGTTTTGGTGGCAGTGGTTGTGGGGGTGGGGGTGGTGGCCGTAGTTGTGGGGGTGAGGATGGCAGTGGTGACGGCACAGGCTGTGGTGGTGCTTAATTCGATGGGATATGGTATGGTGCTGGTGGTTGTGGAGCGAGGATGGTGGAGGTGACGCCAATTTGGCTGGTGGGGGGTTTTGTTGTGTAGATGTGGTGTTCATTCGCTGTAAACACCCTGCAGCGGCGTCAATGACAGTCTGCAGCGATGGTTGTGGATGAGGATGGTGGTGGCTGTGGGGTGAGGATAGCGGTGGTGACTGCACAAGTTATGGACCTGTGGTGGTGGTTAATTCACTGGAATATAGTATTGCTGTTGGTGGTTATAGAGCAGGGATGGTGGTGGCGACGCTGATTTGGCTGGTGGTGGGTTCTGTTGTGTAGATGCATCAATTTGCAGCGGCGGTGACAATATGCGGCGACGGTGGCAACAACAACAATCTGCAGTGGCAACGGAGGAGATATATAGATATAGAACGTGTATGCATAGATATAGATTAATGACTCAAATAACCCCTATGTTAAAAGAAGAGAAGTGATGTTTTAAATGTGGGGCCAAGTCTTAACCTCCCCCCTGAAGGTGGGGAAGTTAGCTTTCCCTATAATTATAAATCATATATAATAAATAATAAATCCTTTTTTTTTTATAAATAAAATATTATTAAAAAACGCTCAAAAGGGGAGCGGATCCCAAGAAAAATACAAAAGACCACAAAGGCCTCAAGCCTTCAAGGAGGCCAAAAAGTCAACAATCTCCTCCAACGATCTATGATCGCTCCCTGAAACCCAACAAAAAATAGTGGAAAGAATCGAGAATTTAAGCACCGAAATCGACATCGCCTTTCCTTCAAAATATCTCATATTCCTTTCAAGCCAAATACACCACCACACACAAAGCTGCGTAGCCCTCCTATCATCCTGACTGTGAGCCCCCACAGGGCAACCTCTCCACGCCTCAATCAACCCTCTAGCGGATCCTGGCATAACCCAAGAAAACCGAAATAAGCCAATCATCAAATCCCAACGCTCTCTAGCCAAAGAGCAGTGAATGAGAAGGTGATCCACTGATTCCTCATCACGAAAACACATATAACAATGATTGACCACCCCCTGGCTTCTCCTCCTCAAATTATCCTAGGTTAAGATCCTACCCAAAACCGAAGTCCACATTAAAACGCCAAACAGACTTCCAAGGAAAACGAACTCTAGGATCAAACGAGAGACACCTGAAGAAAGACCTCACCTCAAAACGCCCCTGGGAGTTTGCAACCCAAGACCAACAATCCAAATCCTCCTCCACAATTCACTGGCGATACAACAACTCCAAGAAATGAATGGCCTCCTCGATCTCCCAATCCTCAAAGAAACGCCTGAATCGAACATCCCAAACCAGTCTCCCATTATCAAGATGATAACAGTTAACCACCATGGCCTGCCTATCCGAAGCAATCCTGTAAAGCTGAGGAAAAGCGAGAGCGAGAGGAATATCTCCACACCACACAGCCTCCCAAAAACAAATCCTCCTCCCATCTCTAAGTCGAAACCGAATATGTTTGGAAAATTCATCCCAACCCTTCCAAATAAATTTCCAGACCCCAACCCCCAGAGGATCCCTCACTTCCAAAGAACTCCACCCTCCTCTCATCTCCCCAAAACGACAAGCCACAACCCTCCTCTATAGCCAATGTCTCTCCACACCAAACCTCCACAACCATTTCCCAAGGAGGGCCTTATTAAAAGGCACCAATCTACGGAGACCCAAACCACCATTCCGAATTAGCCTGCAAACCTGTTCCCACTGCACCAAATGAAACTTAAACTCTTCACCTCTACCCCCCCCCCCCCCCCCCCCCCCCCCCCACAGAAAATTACGCTGCAACCTCTCAATCCTCTCCGCAACTGAAGAGGGAATCTGCAAAAGAGAGATAAAATAAGTGGGAAAGTAAGAGAGGGTGCTCTTAATCAGAGTGACTGCCGCCCTTGGAAAGATACTGCTTCTTCCAACCCGCTAACCTTCTCTCAAATCTATCCACCACTGGTCCCAAATCCCCACACACCTCGAAAGAGCACCCAGAGGCAACCCTAAGTAAGAAATGGGAAATGAACCAGTACGACAACCAAGAATGTCAGCAAAAGCCTCAATCTCAGGGACCTCCCCAACCAACACCAAAACACTCTTACCCACATTCACCTTAAGGCCGGAGACAACTTGGAACCAAATCAAAACACATCTCAAATATCTAATATGGGGCACATTCGCATCACAAAGAACTAAAGTGTCATCGGCAAACATCAAATGAGAGATCTCCAACTGAGAAGCAGCATCCCTGCCCACCCGAAAGCCCCTCAAAAGACCCAACTCGGTAGCCCTTCTCATCAATCTACTAAGGGCCTCCATCACAAACAAGAACAAGAAGGGGGAGAGAGGATCCCCCTGTCTCAAGCCCCTCAAGCTAGAGAAAAAACCAGTAGCAGCACCATTAACAAGGATCGAAAAGCGAGCATTGGAAATACAAAAGTGCATCCATCTCCTCCACCTATCACCGAACCCCATCCTCTCCATCAGGTAAAGAAGGAAGCTCCAACTCACATGGTCATACGCCTTCTCAATGTCCAACTTACAAAGAACACCCGGGACCCCACTACGCAATCTGGAGTCCACACACTCACTTGCAATAATGACTAAATCCAAAATCTGACGGCCTCCAATAAAAGCGTTTTAAGAGTCCGAAATGATGCCATCCAAAACTTTCCTCAATCTTGAAGCAAGCACCTTGGCAATCAACTTGTAGATACAACCCACCAAACTAATAGGGCGAAAATCCCTAACATCCAACAGCACCCCCCCCCCCCCCCCCCTCTTTTTCGGAATGAGAGTAATGAACGTGGCATTCAAGCTTTTCTCAAAAGATCCCCGAGAATGGAAAGCATGAAAAGTGCCCATCACCTCCCCTTTAACCACCTCCTAGCATTCCAGAAGAAATCTCATGGTAAATCCATCTGGACCTGGGGCTTTATCCCCATTGCAACTCTTCAAAGCAATCAGAACTTCCTCCTCAGAAAAAGGCAACTCCAAGCCCAAGCAATCCTCTTCAGAAATAGAGTCAAACTGCATCCCTTCAAGCAAAGGTCTCCACTCAACAGTCTCTATGAACAACTTCTCAAAAAACTCTAAAAATCCTTTGCAGATCTCCTCCTCCTTACAAAAAATAACCCCCTCAACCTGAATCCTCCCTATATGATTGCCTCTTCAATGAGCATTGGCCAATCTGTGGAAAAAATTTGTGTTTCTATCCCCCTCCTTAAGCCACAAGGCTCGAGATTTTTGCCTCCACGAGATCTCCATCATGATTGCAATCTCAGTAAACTCCGCCTTGCACTCCGCCCTTCTAACCTTCAAAGCTTCCACCAAATCCCCTTGACCCTCCATCCGGTCAATAGCCGCAATCTCAGCAAGAACCCAATTTTTTCTCCATTCCAGATTCCCAAAGACCTCTTTATTCCAAGTCTTAAGATTCTCCTTTAAGAGACGTAATCTGCCTGCAAGCACGTGACTAGAGGTGCCAACTACACCATACCCCTCCCACCAAAGGCGGACCCTCTCCAGAAAACCCTCAGTCCGCAACCACATATTCTCGAATCTGAAAAGAGAACGTCTACTACACAACCCGCCACAATCCAACATCAACGGAACATGGTCAGAGATAGGACAAGCCAAAGTAACTTGAACAACATCAGAGAACCTCTCCTCCCACTCCCCCGACACAAGGAATCTGTTAATCCGAGAAACGGTAGGGGGAGAGCGACCACTAGACCAAGTAAACGGTCCTCCAACCAAAGGCAAATCGACCAGCCCAAACTCATCAATAAACTCCGAGAAAGCCTCCATATCAGACATCCACCTACCTCCCGTTGACCTCTCAAACGGAGAGCAAACAACATTGAAGTCCCCTCCAATACACCAAGGCAAACACCATCGAGTTCTGATCCCCCCCAACTCCTCCCAAAGCAAGTGATGCTCACCGTCCTCCGAAGGGCCATAAACACCCGAAAAAACCCAATGAACGCCATCCTCTACCAAAGCAAGAATGCATGAAACAGAGAAACACCCAACCTGAGACTTTAGACACCCATCTATTATCCCATATGATCAAGATGCCTCCCGAAGAACCAATAGCATCCAAAGCAATTCACTCCACAAATCTCCCAGCCCAAAGACTCGTCACAATCCTATCAGACATCGAAGCAAGTTTGGTCTCTTGGAGACACACCACATGACCCCCACCTTTACGAATAACCGACTTCACCACTTTCCTTCTAACCGGGTCATTGAGCCTCCCCGATTACAGCTTTTCCCTAATGAAACTCCTTATGATGCTGATAACATGGTTCTGAGAAGTTGATCGACCTTTGAAGATTTAAGCATTTCGATCCTCCCAAATGTGGCAAACGTATGCAGAAAGTGTCATTTTTGCCAAAGAATTGGTAAAGTTTTTCCTTCTCCAGTAGATAGATATCCAAAAAACAAGGACAGACCAATTGGAATGGGGGACATAGGATCGACACATGCCTTGAATGTACAACCAAATGGGCGTTGTGAACTGACAGTAGAATGACAATTACAATTCCAATCCTACACCATTCTCATTTCAATCCCTCTTATATTCCTTTCCTACGTACTAATCCACATATGTGACATCCTATGCTTGAAAGAGTTCATGGACAAGTTAAGGGCTCAACCTAGGCTCAATTCAAGTTATAAAACCTTCAATTGGAGCTCAACCCAACCCAACCTTCAACCCAAGCTCCTCAACTCAGGCCCAATGCACGTTAAAAATTTGGAAGTCGAGTTAAGCTCAGTTTAGAAAAGGCAGACCAAAAATCAGTTTGAACTCAGGTTATGTTCAGGTTTGGTTCTTCTTAATTTCACAAGGATTGTACAATAGAGCAATATTTAAAGAAAAAGAAACCGAAATGAAAAATGTTGATCATGACTATACATATAGTATATTTAAAAATTAAATATATAAAAGTCCAGTAAGCACATGGGTTCAGATTGCTGAGACACCTCAACCGAAACCCAAATTAAAATTAGCTTTTGATTTTTCAACCCAAACCTAACCCTAGTTGTAAAAAAGCTTGTTCAAGTCTGAAAAATCGGATTCTGTTTGATCTAGGTTTGGGCTAGCCCGTCCAAGTTGCAACACTAGGAAAGATGAGGGGGAGATAATCAAGCCCTTGTCTCACTGAGAGGGACTTTTTGTTAAATGTAGAACTTTGAAGAAGATGAGGATGTCTCTCATGCAACGTCCCTCTCAGGGAGGGATTTGTATCATGTAATCTCTCTCTCTCTCTCTTTCTCTCTCTCTCTATATATATATATATGAAGAAACGCCTAATAGACCTCTGTTAACCGGGCGTGTACAATTCGAACCACTGGATTTAGCCTTTGGGCCCACTAGCTAGTGATTAACACCAATAAAGTCTAAGGTTCTGTTACCACTGATAGTAGCTTCTTTCGGCCTTGTTGGTGTTATTTCTAAAGTAGACATTATAAGGCCTCAAGGACATCCTTCTTTTTATAAGTAAAGTAACATTGAAAAATGCTCAAACAGGGAACACAGCCCAAAACAACTACACAAGGGCCAAATGGGTCCCCCAATCTCTCAACATATCCACGAGAACAATATACTCTCCAAGAGAACTTAACTAACAATAGAGAACTTAAGCACCCCAAAAGGAGTCTACTCGCCATCGAAAGACCTCCTATTTCTCTCTTCACATAGGCAAAGAGGGGTTGCAGTCCAAGCATCACGAACTTGACACCCCCCCCCCCCCCCAGGCCCAAAAAAAAAAAAAAAAACACTGTACCACGGCATCTCTCTAGCATGGACGACGTGGGAAAAGGCATAACCCAAGCCCCAGCAATCCCGAGCCACAGGACAGTACAGAAGGAGATGATTCGCTGACTCCTCATCCCTCTTGCACATAGCACCAATTCAGTATAACCTACATCCTCCTTCTCAGGTTATCCATCATCAAAACATCCTTATACTCATTGCTCCCCATAACAAGGATTCAAAGGCAACTATAGTGTTTGAAACTAAGAAGTTCATTTCCAATGTGTTGTGTGGAGGAAGAGAAAAAAAAGCAATGCAAAACAAGTGGTGCAGAAATCTAAAATCTACATACCAAGTTCACATATATGGCCATGGGAAAGAAAAACTTCATTTCATAAGATATATACCACCAAAGGATGCACTAAAATAGCTGGCATAACTCCCACGAAAGGAAGAGCTTTCTCCTGTTTGGTTCATAAGATAACATCAAAAGAACATTTTAAAGACAAGAACAGTAACTCACATTGTTGAGATGCCTCGTGCTTGTCGTGAAACTAATGAATTTGCCAATACAAACAAGCCTACCCCAATATCCATCTATATAGTCCCAAGAAAGAGAAAAAAAAAAAAAAAAAAAAAAAAAAAAAAGAAAAGAAAAGGTAAATCTTTAATTCATATAAACAAAGGAAGTAAAAAATTTATAAAGCATGTACAACAAAGTTTACCATAATTATAAAAAAACAATTGATTTATTATTCATGAGAAAAAGGAAGAAGTTCGAAACAAATCAATCAAAATGGTGCATACAAAATCAAACAGTTCTTAGAAAAAAAAAAAAACAAAACAAACACTATATATGCAAGCACTACAACTCAAAAACAAATAACTTTTACTAATATTCTCATTGCCAAATATTTAGTCATTCAATAAGGGAAACAAAATGACATAAAAATGCAAGAGAGAAATTCAACGAAGAAATTTTTTTTTTTTGTTTTGACAAGTAAGAATGTATTAGAAATCGTTCAAACGGGAACATATCCCAAAGAAAGCTACACAACAACCAAATAGGGCCTGAAGAACCCAATGTACCTAGAAAAATCAACTAACTCCCCTAAAGATGTACAATTTCTCCCAAGGACCCAAAAAAAAAGAGAGCTGATAGTAGAGAATTTCAGCACCCCAATAGGAGTTTCCTCTCCATCGAAGGATCACCTATTCTGCTCCCTCCATAGGCACCACCACACACATAACGGTGCCACCCTCCAATAGTCACAAGCTTGGGAGCCCATTGCACAACCTCTCTAAGCTTCTATCAAGCCTCTCGAGGACCGAGGCATGACCCAGTGACCCCGAACAAGCCCAAAAGTAAACCCCAACTGTCACGGGCCATGGGACAATGCAACAAAAGATGATCGACAAATGAAAGAGCTCAATGTCTTATATAAAGAGAAACAACATCAGATCAAAAAAAAAAATGTGAAAACGAAATATTTATATATATATATTAATTGAAAAAAGTATGATCATTGGTTGTGTAACAACACAGTTTGATCCAATGGCTAATAAGCTGAAATGAACCATAGTTGTTCTTGAAGAACTCAAGCAAAGCTGGCTATAGGGCTCATTTGAGCTTGTATATCTTATATTATGATTATTAAAAGAGAAAAGACATCTTCACCACACGCCAAATTACTAAATGAAAAATTTAGTTTATATCATTTTAAAATAGTTTTATATTAAAAGACAGCTGGAAAATAAAAGGTTAAAATACAAATATATACATACATACATATATATATATATATACATCATTAAAAAGGATTACAAAAAATTTATGACTCCATATCAGAAAAACTACACATCAATTTAGGAATCCTTCTTACATGTCTTCGTATCCAACTACCAACCCATTCCTTGTTTCTTTCTAGAAACTAGAATTCTATTAACAAGGAAAATGAGAAGAAATAATTTACTGGAAAAAAAAGAGAAGAAATAAAAAAAATGAATGATCTGATATCCTTCTTCAAAGAGAAAAATCAGATAAAAGGAGGAGAGAGAGAAACAAATGGCCCATCGTAATGGATTAGTCTTTTAGTTGGCGTTTCTAATCTTCGCCCTCAATATGTGTTGCAAAAGGGTTAAGCCTCTTAGTTTGTGTTTGGTTTGATGGATTTAAGAATGATGGACTTGGATGTGAATGTATTGGCTGTACTTCAGCAAAGGGATCTGGGAAAGGATTTCAGGTCATTAAGGGACTTCCAAAAGTAATTTTTCAAATTTCACTCTAGATGATTTCAAATAGCATTTTTAGGCTCCAAATTCACAAATGAAATTCTCTCAGAAATGTTAATTTCAAATCCATTAAATAACCACCATCAAATACCTCCTTTTAAATTCATTAATCCCAAATAGCTAATCTTATCCCTCATCTCTCAATCCAATCCCAAATAGAAATGTTCTCCTTTAAAACTCAACAATCTTGTTAGGACTTGGTGTTTATTGCTTGACAGATTCAGTGATCAAAATGATGGTTGTAGACTTGTAGTTGGTCTAGTGATATGTTGTTTTGATCAGTCTGTCCAAGTCAAGTTGATTTTTACCTATTAATTTGTCTCAGAAGGCATGATTGAAAACTGATGATTGAGGATTCCATCAAGATCATGAAGATCGTAAAGATAATATGAGTGGACAGTCTTCATTTACTTGAATCACACAAACTTAGGTAACAGTAAGTTTAACTGAGCAGACCGTAAATACTAAATTGAAATAAAATTAATATGGTTGACCTTAGTAGACTTTGTTATTTAAACTGTAAAATTGTGCTTTATTGTTTTTAAATTCTTTCGACCAATTCCCATAGCATAGGAGATCAATTATAATGAATTTGAGATCTTAAGAGCTAAGGATCGAACCCCACTTGAAAAGAAGCTTAAGGGTCTAACGCACTTGAGGTCGATCCCCATATGCCTAGATTGTTCAGAACAGAGCCCCATAAAATATAGGACTCCCTCCACGAAAGGCTACAGCACCCTTATTGATGATACTTTAGCTATTTTAAACACACATATACCCAAATGGTATATATTTAAGAGCCTTGAACACACATAGTTTGACTATTTTTGCAGAAATTCTTATAAAACTTGTGCAAGCAGCTGTGCATTCCATATTATTCTTGTAGCCTTGCTTGGTGGTTGCTTCAAAGAAAGACTAGAAGCAGTTATTTACTTTCATCTTCACATCGTGATATGAAAACTAGTACTTCGTGCCTACCTGGGAGACATAATAGAGGGAGTGGATCTGTTGATGCTTGCGGAAGACACAGAAAAGCTAGAGTTAAATATTGACGATCACTTGGAGAACGAAAATCACGTGGAGATGGATTCGTTGACAGGATAGCTCCTAGACTTGTGAGACATAAAACTGAATCCAAAGTATATCAACTGAGGTATTTTTGTGTAAAAGTTCGCAACCTAAATTTATACCTTTTCTTCTCATTGAGGAATGTTTAGTACCTGGGCAAGGTCCCGTGGTTTCCTCCATTGAGGTTTTCCATGTTACTTCTGATTGTTTGATAGAAGGTTATGCATGCTTGGTTATGAATGAATTGATGAAACTAATATAATTGGTGATAAATTAACCTGCCAATTTGCATTAACAAAAAAGGAAACCTCTTCACTCCTAGGCCCCATCCACATCTGTGAAATCATCTTTTTCCTTTCACTACACAACTCTAAAATCAAACTGCAGCCTTAGTGCTTAAAGCATTCCATCGATGAAAATTTTATTAAATGTTCCCAAGAAGGTGAACACGTGCTATTCAAACCAAGCGGAGCATTGCTCATGAGCCGATCAAGTAGAGTTCAACCAAAGGTTAAACAAAGGTATCCCAAAATTCAGGTAAACTCAAGCAAAATATGGAGCACTTTAACTTAGCCACTGTGCCCGAACAATCTCATACTTGTCTTGATCCAGCTTTTTGGAAGCCCTACAGCAGTGATGCCACCTACCATGGGTGCACGACTATGTATTATGACTGAATCTAGACTGGAAACTTTAGAAAGATTTGAAAATTTTCAAACCAACTTCGGATAGAAGAATATAATGATAATAATAAAACACCCTGGTGGTAATGGATAATGCCATAAAGAACGGTTAGAATGTTAGCCCCACTACAGAACATTAACAACTCCACTGGGTTTAATTCAAGATTTTGGAAACTCAGTGGCAAGGTTCTACACAAGGCTGCAGAGAGTTTATAAACCTCAGAGACATTTACCAGCCTTCTCAATGATATGAACCACGAAATATAACATACACATCAACTATGAGTAGAAAGAAAGCCTCCAGCAATTTCTTTGATTATGAATGGAGCCAGGATTAACATACATGTGCTTCCTATATCAAGTAGATAAGAAAAATAAACAAGATGAAAAGATTCCAACAAAAAGAAGAGAAGGTGAGCAATGCACAGTAAGGGCAACTAGTAGTCAAAAGAAAACATGAGTAAAACAGAAGGCACTTCAACATTCATGATTCTATTCAACTTTGAATGTATAAACTTTCTATACCCTAAGTCTGATGTATCCCAGCAAAAACCTTCAATTTCAAAGCTGTTCTCAGTTTCAAAATAAAATGACCTCAAAGCTGGTTAGAAACAAATCAAGCCGCAATTATCATGTTTCGGTAGATCTAAGACTGGACCTTAATGGACAATTTTTATCACTATAATACTTCGCATTGACTTGCTCAACCAGATAGCTCCAATTACCCAACAGAAAGCTTAAATAACAAGTTTACAGACTTCATAAGGTTAATATCTCGTGTTGTCTATAATATGTAGCAAACTCATGAATGATTCATGAACCTAACATAAATGATACTTGGCAGTCAAAAATTGCTACACCCCCAAAACCTTTAGAAGATATTAAATGATAGTTGATTTTTTGGACTCTTTGAGAGTTTAGAGGCCCTATTTGGCTTTGTGTAGCTTTTGCGGGATGCATTCCCCGTTTGAATGCTTTCTATTTCAATCACTCTTACTTATCAAAAAATAAAATGACAACAATTCCTTTAGGCTTACAACATGAGAAATATTTCATACAATGCCACAAACAACTGATGCATAAGAAACTCCATCATCGTGAAAGATAATTTTATTTCTAACAGCAATGATATGTAATTGGTCGTTCTAACTTCACGATCAACTACACGCTTGGAGAATTATCTAATTGAGTTTTAAATGAATAAATTTACCATTAGGACCAACCAATGTAATGTTTCCCAGACTTCGCAGCCTAAAATCTTGTATCCCAACCCTTAAGAATGACCAAGTAGGGTAAAAGTCTCCATCAGTGACTCATTCCCCCAAATTATTACGTATATATGTTTCATACACTATTCAATGTGTGTGGAGAAGCTTAGCCGGACACAAGAGAATATGGCATTGGCATGAATCCTCTTGGGTGCAAACAATTCCTTGACAGAGGAAGAGGGGGGGGGGGGGGGGGGGGGTTGTCGAGTATTAATTAGGAAAAAAAATTTACGGGAAAAAAATAACAATAATAAAATAAAAAAATAAAAAATATGGCATTGGTATG